GAAAAAGGCTTATACTTATTATGTGAACGAAGTAACCTGACTTCTCTTCCTAGGTCTTTCTGAACTTGACTAAAGAGACACAGAAAAATAGTGCTCTGAGTCTTGAGCACTTAACACAAAAGAAAATAGGAAATTCCAGCACCAATGGCATCTCAACTCCTGACGATTTATCTCTGAGCAGCAGCAATTTCACAGACAGAGATGGTATAAAGCTAATGTGGATTATTTTGCTTAATTATGATAAATGTTATCAATGCGAAAATCTCAGGACAGATTTTTTCTTTAATTTCAACTTTAAATGTTCTCTCTGAGTTCAAAAAGACTAAAGAAATGTAAACCAAACAACCAACCAGTTACCATCAAGTTGATTCTGATTCATGGTGACTCCAGGTGTACTATACAAACTATTCATTTAGTTAAATCAAATTATCTTTTTTCAAAAATCCTTTAAAGGGGATGAAAGGACTTTCTTGGTAGGCCGGTGAGGAGTATTCCTTCTACCCACCAGAAGTTGTGTTCAAGATGTAACTTACTACAATTTCACATTTGGACTCAATACGTTAAAATCCTTCTTGTAACCAATGTTACCTTGTAAAGTAGTTCACTCCCTGTTATTAGACTTGTTCAAGGAAGTGCAAAGTTGTAAGAAAAAAATTTTTAAATGTCTCATTGGAAATATGTCTAATCTCCTCCCATTCTGGACCATTATGATGCTGAGAAAACTCAGGAGCCGACAAAATTCTTAAACTGGGGGAGTGTTTCTAACTTGAAGAATTTGCACTGGATAGCTAGAAACTTATAATAGATTTTTTTCTTTTATTCTTTCCAATTCTTCACCCAGGACATGTTTGAACAATCATATTTCTTGACACAACTTTGAGGGGCTGGCCTCTTTTGAAAATAACTTATAGTGTCTTCTTATTCTCTTTCTGACAGCTAATTTGTATTCTTGGAAACTCTATTTACTGAAAGAAGCATATTGTAAAATGATATGTAAATGATGGAGTAGTCATTACAACAGTTTGCTTAAGTTGAGAAAAATCTGCAGGACCAGAACTTTTCATTAAACTTTAACCTGGGTCTAAAACTCAAAAAGGAAAAGAAAAGATCATTTCTGATGTTTGTGTAATTCTAGAACTTGAGTCTGATTTGCCCTCTGCCATATTCCTGCTTTGTAATCCTCTGGTGAATACAGTCATAGAGTCCATGGATTTGAGTACTTTGATTAGAATGGGGTCATCTGCACCAGGTGGTAAATGTTATGTATTTGCTTCTGCTTTTGTGTCATAGTTTGAAACTATTATTCAGTCCGAATGTTCCCCTCATTGACATTATCTTTTAGAAAGCACACTTACTCCACTTGATACACCTGTAAGTCATCCACATGTCATTTCTCAAGAAATAGAAAAGCATACTAATTAACTTAAAATATTCAGCTCCTTCTACAATTCCCCTTTGCAGAGATATGAGTTTTCATTTAAACATGCTCACTCTGTTTAATTGGAATTCATTTTAAATTAAGCAGCTTTGTATTTTTCCTTATCAGCTAAATGAAGATCATGATTTTTGTGCTGCATAATTTGTGATGGAGAATTAAAAATATACACACAGTTGAGGAATACTGTCATCTTATCACATATGAAGTGCTTGGCAGAAGGTCTTAGGAGAGAATGTTATATGGACCTATTTTTAGAGGATACTGATGAAATTATTAGTTAATAAGAGCTCTATTGAGGAAGCAACCACTTATGGCTTCAACAGCTGCTCTTACTCTCAGAAACCATGACATTTTTCTCAGCGCCTGAAAATCTTTTCAGAGTTGGGGAAAGGTAGACAGTTTTTCCAGTGATTTCCTTTTTGTTACCCTAATAGTAAATGTGGGAGCTCTGATAGCACAGCACCTAAGGCACTTGACTGCTAACCAGAAGGCTGGCAGTTCAAACCCACCAGCCACTCCTTGGAATGAAGATGGGGCAATCTATTTCTATAGTGATACTGTCTTGGAAACCCAAGGAGGGGTCGCTATGAGTTGGGTACGACTCGAAGGCACTTAACAACAACAAACAAATAGTAAATGTAGGAGTCCCTTGTTGGCACAAATGGCTAAGCACTCAGCTACTAACCAAAATGTGGGTAATTCAACCCACGCCCCAGAGGTTCCCTGGAAGAAAATCCTGGTGACCTGTCTATGAAAGATCGGAGTCTTGAGAACCCTTTGGATCACAGTTCTTCCCTGCAAAACATAGGGTTACCATGAGTCAGAATCAATTCAGCTGCAACTGGTAACAGTAAAGCTGGTCATTTAAGGCACTGTAATCACTTGAAATTTCTAAAGAGAATATAATGAATAAGTGTTTGAGCAAGAATTTTACTTTGGAGCAGAGGAGATTTTCCTTTCCCTCATTAAGGGACAGCCAAATAAATATACAATCACTGAGGTTATTATAATTGGAACCAGTTCTTACACTAAACTGGTGTTTTAGTCTTGATGAAAGCTATTTCTTGACTATTACTCACCACCATCAACTTGATTCAGATCCATAGCGGCCCCCATTGGGTCTCCAAGCAGTAAATCTTTATGGAAATAAATTGTATTATCTTCCTTCCACCAAGTGGCTGGTGAGTTTGAACTGCCAACCTTCTGATTAGCAATCTAATGCCTTAGGCACTGTGCCATCACAGCTCCTTCCTCTCAACTATTATAAATCAGAATCACTGCCTTCTAGATGATTCGAATCATAGTGATCCCTCCTTGGGTCTCCAAGATGGTATCTCTATGGAAGTAGATTGCCCAGTCTTCCTTCCAAGGAGTGGCTGGTGGGTTTGAACTGCCAGCCTTCTGGTTAGTAGTCAAATGCCTTAGGCACTATGCCACCAGAGCTTCCTCTTGACTATTAGTAATTATTAATACATACTGAGCCTGTATTGATTCTTTGGATTTAGAGACATTATTCATTTATAAAATTCTAGATATCTGACTTTTAAATGTCAAATCACTATGTAAATGATTAATAATATCTCTTGGATCATGGTTTGCAATTTTCAAAGCACTTTTCCATAAATCTCTATGAGCTATGTATTTTGGCCCTCAATTTTCCCAACAGAGAAACTGAGGTTCAGGCCCAAGGCTGATAAGTGAAGAACTGGGCTTCAAATCCAAATCATTAAAATATAAGCTCTTCCCATCACACTACAGTATACTATCCAATGACAGATTTTGAAGTTACTTTATTCCTTGATTTAGCAACTTTTTTAAGACCTGTATTGAGTCTCTTTTTCTTAAACAGACAAAATCCTGATGAGAGGAGAGAGACTGGATGGGTTTGGACTGTTACTGAAGAAGATAATGGCTATTCTCATCAAGAGGTTCCACCACACTCGCAGGAATTGGAAAGGTTTCATTGCCCAAGTCATCCTCCCCATCATCTTTGTAACCACCGCCATGGGCCTTGGCACACTGAGAGATTCCAGCAACAGTTACCCAGAGCTCCAGATCTCCCCATCCCTTTATGGTACCACTGAACAGACGTCCTTCTATGTGTGAGTTTCTTTCTTTCATTAAAACGGCATTTCCAAAATGCTTCCATAGGTGTTCTTGTGTCTAACTGAATGTCGTGGAATGGTAGAGAATAAAGAACTTAGCATCTGATTCTGCCAGAGGAATAGGCAGTTTGATTTATTGCAACATGACAGGTTTGTCACCAACAAATAGCTTTTTGTTTGTTTTAAAGTAACACTTTAACAGACATTTATTTTTAATAACTTGATTTCAATCATGTTAAGTTGTGACTTTCCAATGTGTTATGATAGAGAGCACATAGCTTTTTGTCCATCCCACAATTATTAAATAGAAATGTTGTAATTCTGTATAATGTAATTTTATGAACACAATAGGTGAACACACAAGGCATGTGACAGTTAGAATAGCAAGGCAGCCAAATAGAGACAAATACATATTTCCTTGATTTTTTTTTGTTTTTGAAGACAGAATCTTAGCTTTTTAAGAAAACAAACCTATAGACAGCAAGTTTCATTTACTCAAATTATTTGTGAGCATAAATTTCTTTTAGAAGACTAGTAGAAGAATCACGAATTTCTTTCTTTCTTTTTCATATTGCAGGAATTTCAACAAAACTACAAAGCCACTGGTCTCAGCGATGTGGGCCTTCCCTGGCATTGACAACATATGTCTGAACACCACTGATCCGTAAGTCATTCTTACCCTTGTTCTTGCCTTTTCAATATCCTATTTGGATATGAATGTGTGTGTGTGTGTGTGTGTGTATACCTGGTGGAGAGCAGTCCTCTGATAAATCTGTATTGGATACATTTTCACTATCTCCTTTCGTCTGTTCCATGGCTATGCTAGCCTGTAACAATAAAATAATAAACATTAGGTGCTTTATCATTTGTACAGCTCTTTTATGTACGTATTTTCATTTAACAATCATAGCAACCCTTTGAATTATTCATCACATCTTACAGACAAAGACACTTAGGCTCATAGGGACTAAACTACTTGTCTAAAGAAATCTAGATAATCAGTTGTATGGCTAAAGCTGAGACCCAAGTCTTCTCACTCTAAATCCCACGTTTTTGCACTCTAAGGTGTTGCTTGTTCAAAACACCAAGATAGTACATAGCTTATGTAACTCTGCCATTGTCACTTTATTATACTAAAGTATCTTCTTCTCATCAGAGGTGAGGATGCAAAGAACAAAAAGAACAAGGGAACAGAAAGTCCTAACCTATCCCATTAAGATAATTCAATGGGCTTTGGTCTTAGCACTATTTCATCAGTAAGTGTTCTCCCTCAGTCACCCACTGCACAATGTTAAATTATTTGAAATCCGTAGTGCCATGTATACTCCAGTAATGAAGAATCAGTAAAATCATATCTAGAATTACATACCTGAATTCAATACTAAATAGTTGCTTATATGCTCATACTTAAACACAAGAACACATACATAAGCACCTCATTTCAAAATCATATTTTCATTTGCAGAAGATGTTTAAAGGACGGTACTCTTGGAAAATGGAACACTAGTGGAGAACCTAGCACTGATTTTAGTGTCTGCACCTGCTCAAAAAATGTCCAGGTAAGATGGAATTAAGTTTCAGGAAATAGGAGAAAGAAGAGATAGACACTGAAACATGAAAGATCTACCTAGATTACCAAAGAGTTAGTATAATTTCACTTTATGTAAACTCATAGTTCAGAGACGTGAACCTGAGCAGCTCAAAAATACTAACTTTGAACTTCAGGTCATTATTTTAAATCCATCTCAGGACAAATTTCCAAAAGGAAGTAATTCTACCTTTGTGGAAACCAACTGCAAATGAATTTTTGGTCTCAATTCAGTTCTAACTAGAAAGCTGTAAGTTTTGCACAACAAAATACCACCATAACTGTCATATCTGAAAATACACTGTGGCTGCCATAATAGTGGTCAACTAGGAAGTCAGTACTGTCTCAGTCTAGAACAGACTCCATAAGTCTAAGGTATAGCTCCAGGCTACGAGAAAAGTCTATTTCCTGAAAGAATTATAAAAGGTTATCCAACCATCACTCACCTTGTATTCTACAGATACACACTTTGGGTTTTCAGACCTGTTAATTCACCAAATTTATACCAAAAAACTCACTGTGTCGAGTCAGTTGTAATTCATAGGGACCCCCCATTGTGTTTCCAAGGTAGTAAATCTTTATGGAAATAGATTGCCCCATCTTCCTTTCACAGGAGCACTGGTGGGTTTGGAGCTCTGGTGGTAGTGCCTAATGCATTTGACTGCTAACCAGAAGGATGGCACTTCAATTCAAGAGAGCCCAATCCACAGGGGAAATTAAAGATTGTTGAAGAAAAGAGGCCACCAAAATAGTTTCTGAGTCATGACTGTCAACTTTACTTTCCAGTAGGGAAAGAATCTAGCAATATTTTCTTCAAAGTGAAATATGATTGCACCCTGATTTTCTTGGTACAATATTTTGAAATGAAAATATTTTTAGTAAATGCAACCCATTGTGGTGTTCTCTTACAAAGTGGCTGCTAACAATAAGAGCTGGGATCCAACAAGGACCTTTTGGAATACTTGCACATTTAAAAATTAGTGTTAGGAGTTCTGGCAAGATGGCGGACTAGGCAGAGACACTGCACAGACCCTCTTCAACAAAGAAAAGGGAAACCAATTAACACAGACAC